GTTTTTGTATCAAGAGATATAGTCCTCAATGTATCATTATCCATTTTACCATTTCTCAACAAATGAAATGAAAAGGATACTTTTTATTGTTAGGCAACATTTATGATAAAAAGGCACCAAAATCTGCATGCTTTCTCAAGAATGTTTCTATAGTACATGATACCAGTGTTCTGAGTTCGTTTACAGGAACCACCTCTCTGTGTAGGTAAGGGATCTGATAGCTGCCATAGCACATTCCAGAGATCATGGAAAGCGGAATAATACTGCGGTGGATTTAGCAGAGGATACAGCTACAGCTCCTTTTGTTGTTTTGTTTTGGTCATGGAAAACATCTTCGTAAATGATCATTATCACCTTCAATGAAATGACCCTTTCAGAAATTCGACTGCCATTCCTTGCTGTTTCTAAAACCCTGGCTGCAGCCATCCTCAAGTCTTAATGGAATGCAGAAGGGATATTTAAGATGAAGACTATCCCCTTTCCAGGGACCTGAGAAGCTCTGGTTTCCTTCCCAGAAGTGTGGTTCCACTAGGAATGGTTATGAAACATAATTTGAGGGAACTGCACAACACACTCTTTTCTCTTTGCTTCTTGATCTTCCATAATTTTGAGCTTGGATAAATAAGATACCACTTAAATACCATGATGGAATTTTACACGCTAATTAATAACATCACAGAAGAATTTATATTCTTTAATTTTACCATAATATAAATACTGTAATTTAGTATAACTGTGTCTTACTTAGAGTAAATATATAAGAAAATTTATATGAGATTATGAATATTTTTAATATATGCAACCTAAGATTAGCAATGTTGTTAAAATTTAATGTTCTTATCCTTAATGTAAATTATAGCCTTTTAATTTTCTTGGGTCTTTAAAGAAATGTATAAATTTTATGGGGCATAACAATTCCTATCTGTAGATTTCATTTAGCAATCTTAGTGAAAGCAAAAATCTCACATTGATGTTCTCTATAAAGAATTAAGGACATGGCTTGGAGGTTAAAACATGTGCAAACCTGAGAACTGACCGGGGTTCAGATCCCCAGAACCCAGGTGAATGCCTAGTAGGTGTGGTGGCTTTCTGGAATTCCAGCCTTGGAAGGTAGACACTGGAGTCCCCAGAACAAGCTGGAGAACACAGACTAGCCATATTGCTGAGCTCTGGGTTTGATTTTGATTTGCTGCCTTAATGAATCATGTTGGGGAGCCATGAAGTATGATTCCAAACATAAACCTAGGGCCCCTGCACCCATATACACTGGAGTCCCCAGAACAAGCTGGAGAATACAGACTAGCCATATTGCTGAGCTCTGGGTTTGATTTTGATTTGCTGCCTTAATGAATCATGTTGGGGAGCCATGAAGTATGATTCCAAACATAAACCTAGGGCCCCTGCACCCATACACATGCAAAAAACACACAACCATGGAGAAAAGAAGAAATATACTTTTATAATAACTTTAAAATTTCAATCTGATGAGATCAATTATCAAAGCCCTTGTTGAGGTCTTTTAGTTCATGGCTGCTGCTTGGACATTGGCTCTGAGAAGTAACCACAGTCTCTTCAGCTCTATGCCTTGCTGCCAGCCTTGATCACTCCGGAGAGGGGAAGAGAAGACACAGTATTTAGACACGGGAAATGTTATTCTTAATAAAGAATTACCCACTGTAACTTGGGAGATGGTTCAACAAGGGAGAATACTTGTTGCACAAGCAGAGTCTGAGTTCAAACCCCAACATTAAAACCTGGGTGTGGTTGTGCGACAGTAACCCCAGAATTGTGGGAGGGGATAAGTTAAGGGGCTCGCTGGGGCTCACTTACCATGAGTAGAAGGTGATCCAAGAGTAGACCCACTGCCCTACTCTGGCCTGCAGGATCCTGTTCATGGATGTGTGTACTGACACACACATTTGAGCATTCACCACAATTTTAAAGAATTCTTGACTAATAGAGATTGTGATGAGAAGGTCTGTTAGACTTAGGGAGTTTTATAAAGAATTTACAAATGTAAATAGTCTAATCTATAGCTACCTCTAAGACTGAAATAAGTCTTCATGGCCCAATACCCTGATCTGAGATCCTAATCCTCTAGAGACACAGGCATGTCCCCAAAAGTCAGATAAGTCAATTGGAGGCCATATTGGTGGAATCTGCTAGAATATGATCCTCTAGGATTTCTAATGTTAACAAAAAGGTCTATACAAAAATAAATGAATAAATAAACTGCTTTAGGGGGTCCTGGGGGTTATAAGTAACTCAGTGTCAGTAGGCTATTGCTGGCCATTGGGAACTTAGTGGATCTTCAGAAACTGCAAGAACATGGAGAAAAGGGGAATGTGTAAAACAGTGGGAGCTGAGTCTGGGAAGCACATATGCACCGCAGCAGACAAACACCAGATAAACCATGTAGTGAAGGAAGTAACCCTTCCTCATTCGGTGTCTTACATCATCTGCACATAATACATGGGAATATGCTAATTATTAAAAGAAAAGTATTTTAAAAGCGCATATCATTTTAATCCAAGAAACCAAGGGGATGCATTCCAGTTGAGAAGTAATTAATGTATAAACAGAGACATGGCATTGAAACTTGTGTACAATTTCTTCAAATTATTTTATTGTTATTGAGATATTAACTGTTATTTTATAGTAATAGTTGAAAGGAAACTGATCTATCTATCCACATATTTGTTGCTTAATTATGACACTACCACAAGGAAAAGTGTGGTATTTATATATCCTTGATACTTTAGTTTGTAAAGGATGAAAACTGAAAATTTTAAAGAAATAAATTTAATGGATGTTATATTAACTATGTCAGTAATTGGTTCTTTGGGGAGTACTATATTTAAACTTACAGTTTATGTAAATGTGATTAGTCATTTGAAATGAATAAGTCATTTCATAATATAGCTATGCATATGAAATTTCCCAGTCAAGAAGGGCTTCTTCAGTTGTGTGTATTTTGACATACTCTAATTGGCCAAATTATCTTAGTTGGATAATAAGCCTCATTCTCGCCAAGAGTCTCCGTAATTTTCCATGATTTCTTAGTAAAGAAAATTGAGAAATATATCATAGTGTATATGTCATCTGAGTTAGGAGTTTTCTTGAGTCACATGCCTAGACAATTTCAATGTTCGGGACTCTGAGGCATAAAGCTGCCATGGAATTCATGAGCTAAGTTTACTTACCTTCTTTGGGCCCAGGCTGTGGAAAGTAAGGAGTTTTAGAGCATGTTGACCAGAGTAAATGTAGACTTCATTGAAATAAGTAAGAATCAATTACATTTCAAAATCAATATAATAAGCCAAGAAGTTTTTAGTTTTCATTTCTAATTTCAGAAATACGATACAGGTTTTGAAATGAATATGTCATTGACTTTCTGCTTGAATTACTTCACATCACTCATATAAACTTCCCAAAAGCAAACAATTCGTTTGTTATCTTTAAAGCAGATTTTCTGTCTGTTACATGTATATGCTGTATTGCCAGCGCACCGCCCTCCTCTTGGCCCTCTAAGTCCTCCAGGACCTCTCACCCCGTCTGTGCTGTCCTTTTAACTTACTTTGCACTGTTCCCATATACCCCACTGAGTCCAATTAGAGATGTCCGTATGTGTGGGGGTGTAGATCCATCCACTTGAACATGGGCAAGCTACCAAGCCAGCTACTATATCTCTGAAGGAAACCAGCTCGACTCCACTTCCCCTAGCAGCCCACCCCTGCAGCCTCGCAGCCTCGCAGACTCCGAGCTAGACTGTTAACTGGCAGGATCATGTGCAGGGCTCAGAATAGAGATACTGCGAGGTCCTGAGCGCAGCAGCCTTGCCATGTGTAGAAGGTGCTGCTTGGCAGCAGTCCTCCCCTTCCTCTGGCTCTTACAATCTTCGCATAACCTCCTCAGTGACATCCTTGAGCATTAGGGGGAGGTGGTTTGGTAAAGACACTGAATTGAAGGCTTGGAACTTCACTTATTCCCCGCACTTTGGCCAGTTGTGGGTCTCTATATTAGTGTCTGTCCACTCTAAAAGGCGCTTCTCTGATGAAGGAGGAGGGCTGCACCAAGGAACTGTATTTACGTGGCAGTTTGACCCCCCAAAAAATTAGAGTTAATTTTAATTGTAGTTTAACCTCTTACTTATAATGTCAACCTGAAACTGAACATAAAACTTAAAGTAGTCCATTTGAAATGGAAATTGATAAACTATTTCAACAATATTCATCATTTATTAAGCATACAACTACGAAGGCTATAATAATGCTACTTTATGATAACAATCTAAGAAAAACAATATTTTTGTGAGAGAAGATGACACTCTTTAGCGCTAGCTAACCTGGGAGTTCCTGCAGACCTTGCTGGCTTCGAACTCATAGAGCCCCTACCTGGCAAGTGCTGGAATCAAAGGCATGAGCCACCCACCATCCCTGCTGGGAAACAGTCTTGTATTCAGTGAGCTTGCATTGCACGAAAACAGGATGAGCAGGTGACTGAAAGCACCGATTTCCTTACCTGCACAAACATGGTCTCGCAGGGGAAAGCATCCAAGTTAGCCCCACCCAACCTCGTGTCTGAAGCTTGTTCAGACAGCAGTATGGGGAGAGGGTTTGCGGAGGTTTCCTTTTGTACTCCTCTGTTACTTTCCAGTTTTAAAAAGGAAAATACTGATGACATAAAGATGGCATTTTGTATCTGAACATTCATCCAGAGAGGTGTAATTTGGTTTATTTTGTATTTTGTGATTTTTAAGTTTCACATTCATTTTGTAGCTAGTACTTAATCACACTTACGGGTGTGTTGGGTGCGTGGGGGATTCTCATGCCGAAAGTCAGAGAACAGTTTTCGATTCTCTCCATCTCTCCCAGGTGTGTCCTAGACATGGCATCCAAACTGTCAGTCTTGGTGTGAACACCTAAACCCACGAAGATGTCTTGTCGGCCCAGTCATGTTGGAACTTTGATGTGGTTTCTCTAATATGTTTTGTTTTTCAGCTTCTCCCTGGGTGGATAATAGTAGAACTCCAAACAAGATTGATCTGTATGATGTACGCAGAAGACCATGGTATGAAATTTTGACTCTCTCTGAAGACACGATCAATGGAAGAGGGTTCTATCATTTGTTAACATGTTGATGGCAAACTTCCCCTTACTGGGATGGGTGTTGTCTCTTTACATACAATGCTATGATATTTTCAAAATATAAACAGATTAATAACAAATGAAAATGATGAGTTTGGGTAGGGAATGATGGTTTTTCAGACTTTGTTTTCAAATGGATTACTTTGTCTTACATTCAGTTTCAGCTTGCAGTCTCTTTTAGCTGGTGGGGATTTCTGGAGAAGGACTCTTACTTTGGTTGGGGTAGAGCCCTTATAGAGAGATGACATAGAGTCAGAGACAATTTGCTTCTGGCAATGAACTAATGAGACTGGCCCCAAGCTAAGAGTGCTGCCTAAGTATATCCATATAGTTGAGAATTGACTTCCCCCCAAAGGGTTTATTTGTTTGGCACTACTAAAATAATTCATCATCCTACAAAATGCAAGAAAATGTCAACAGTATGTTCAGACTTACTGAAAAACAACTCTGAATGTTCATGCCTTTTAACTATTGATTGCATTTAGAGTGTTTAAATTTTACATTTGAATAGTAAATATACTATTTTTAATGAGTTCATATATACAGCATGGTGCCTTGTACATTTTATATTAATTTTTTAGTACATTTTGATGAAAATAAATACTTAACATCATTTTAATGAAGGTTATCTGCTCATTCAATTAAGAAAATCCCTATTAATGGATTTTCACATTGTTTCTAACTTCTTACTATGTTCACACAAATTCTATGCAGCATAGTGGTTGATTGAAAAAACATGTATTAATGGGTTTTAAGTGTCCTGTTTAGTATCAACTAGCAGTTTACATGAATACAACCTTGAGCAATAGTTACCAATATCACTATTATTAATAATATTCCTACAGTTTGTTATCTAATGGAAACAAATAATATAGTTTGTATTTAAGAAATGGTCATTTTATGGGAAATGTAGGAGCAATGTGTCAATCATCCAAAGCAAACACTGTCCTAATCTTTTCATCTTCCCACTGAGAAGCACAGTGGGACAGATGCTAACCAAGAGTGTTAAGATGCTTGACAGGAGCTGGATTGTCTCCCTTGGGCAAACAGAAGAGCTCTGCCTATTGATCTGCACAGAGTGGAGTGGGTTGCAGGCAGTGCAGTGCGCTGCTCCCCACTAATCCCAAGCAGTTAGCAGCTGTGCTCTAGACTGTTGAGAATGAATTGGCCTGTTTTCTGTCAGGGAAAAGTTGAGTCTTGATGCAGGCTTCCTGCTGGGGAAGGCAGACACCTGGTCCCCTTCGTTATCTGTTCCCCTTCAGTCTCTGACCAAACAGTATGTGTCTGTCTGTCTGTTTCTCTTTCATTAATCAGCTGCTCTCAAATTTATTTCTCCACATCAGATAATGTCCTACCTAAGTCTTCCCTAAAGTATCTTTCAAATGCAGGGAGTCTTGCTCTGTAAGATGTGGTTGGATTTTAGAATTAACATTTGAACTGCTTCTCCAGGTTTTTCTTGGATTCTGTAAAGGTTTGAGAGTTTCTGCTTTGACTTCTTAGTAATAACATTATCCAGTGCCTGAGTTCAGTTATTTAACTGGCCTGTTGGTTTTCCTTTTGTTTAAGTTGCTTTTTCTTAAAGTTTATACACCACCTATCTCTTTGTGTTTATTTATTTATTTTTGTATTTTAAAATATCACAGTTGGTTATCCACTACAGTGAAAAGGTCACAAAAATCCTTTTAGAAATTAATTTTATTTACTGCTTACATTAAATTTCATATCTATCTTTTCTTATAAATACCGGGAAAGTAGCTTTAAAGCCATACTTTAGCATCTCTAAAGTGATCATAAATACTTTTTTTTGCTTTAACCATATCCTAGTTCAGAGATCTATGAATAATAATACAGCAAATATCAGTGTTAGACACAGAGGAAAGGAAACGTTTCTGTGGTTCTGTTTCAGGTATATCCAGGGAGCTGCATCGCCCAAGGACATGCTCATTCTGGTGGACGTGTGAGTAGTTGACTATTATAGTGCACGAGACGTTTTGTAGGTAATAGTAGTTTGTGGGAAGTTAGCCATGTATAATAGATTGGGGAAAAAAATCATTGCGATGATTGTATATGCAGACACAGCCATATTAAGACATTAACATGGGCTTGGGGAGTTGCTCAGTCAATAAAGTGCTTGTTGCACAATATGAAGAGCTAGGTTCTTATCTCTGGCATCTACATGAAAAAAAATTAAACAATAGTGGGACAGTGGTTTGTGCCTGTAATGTCAACTATGGATGGGGGAGAGAAGATCCCTGGGGCTTGCTGACTAGACTATTCAAAGGATCGGTTTGCCCCAGGATCACCGTGACAGCCAGTCTTAAAGAACATGATGGACAGTATTAGAGGAAGATACCTAACATCGACCTCTGACCTCCACACATCTCTTTGCGAATACACAAACACACACACACACACACACACACACACACACACACACACACACACACAGCAGACACACACACACATACCCACCCAAACATACACACACATATGCACACATACAAAAAAAGAAGAAAGACCAAGAAAATGTGACTTAGTTGCTACTTAGCCATAAACAATTTTATTGACTAGAAGAGATTTGGATCAAGATAGATAAATGTGTTAACTTTTATTACTAGGACTTTTCAAGGGACACACTTTATGAGAACAATTTCTATAAGTGCTGATATTTGTGGTTTAATTAATTTTTTATATTGTTTTGAGTTAAAACCATAAGAGAATCTGTATGCCCCTGTGATGCAGAAGTGGGAGTTAGTTACCTAGAGATGAGTCCTACCTTAGGGGAGGTGTAGAGACAAGAGAAATGAAGAAATCCTGGAGAAATTGTTCTTTGGTCAGTGGAGCAAGGCATTTGGCCACAAACCTCAACAAAGCTGTGTAGCTCTGTTATTTCCTGCTATTCATTTTTTCTATTGACTTTTATTTTTTAAATTTTTTAATTAAAATATAGTTACATTATTTCTCCCTTCTCTTTCTTCTCTTTTAACCTATACTACTTGCTCTCTCTCAAATGCATGGCCTCTATCCTTAATTGTAGAGGTGTGTGTGTGTGTGTGTGTGTGTGTGTGTGTGTGTGTGTGTGTGTGTATGTGTGTGTGTGTGTGTGTGTGTGTGTGTGTATGTGTGTGTGTGTATGTATTCTCAGTGTATAAATATATAAATACATAAATACATAAATATATAAATACAACCTGCTCAGTCTCTGTGTTAATTGTATATGTATGATTTCAAGGCTGACCACTTTTTAAAGATGGAACGAGACCATTTTCTTTCTTTATGATGCTGTTTGTTAGATGACTAGTGAGTAACACATAGACCCCTTTGTCTGTTCATAGGAGTGGAAGTGTGAGCGGATTGACTCTGAAACTCATCCGAACATCTGTCTCCGAAATGTTAGAAACCCTCTCAGATGATGATTTTGTGAATGTAGCTTCAGTGAGTATGGATGGCTATTTCTTTCTGAATTCCACCTGCCTGTTTCCTCATGACATTAGATACTGGGGTTTGATCTTAGTTGTCCTGAGATGTTATAGGAATGTTACAAGCTGCCTTACTGAGCTGTTCTGCACTATCCTTTCTGAGATCCTTAGCATTTACCACTGTTGAAATAATGACTAATGAATGAAAAGCATTGCTCTCCTTCACTCAAAGGAGCCTATATAGGTAATGTGAGCCCTTCACTCACAGGTCCCTTCAGGACATCTTATGGAGTAGCACCTTGCAACATGATTGAACAGTTAATTGCTTGTTGCTGATTAGGCTTGTTGCCTGAACAACTGACATAATTGCATTGTGTTATTCCTAACAGAAGAAAAGAGGCAACTGAATGAGTTTGGAACCATCTTAGACCCTCTTATAGCTAGAAAGTACAGGACTTGATGCAAATGGAACAAGATGTGCCATGTCTCATTTTAATCTATCTAATTAAGGCAATGAAGTTCATGGTCATTTCTGGTGCATGAAATTTCATATTTGAAGTGGTTTTATTTATAGAGATGTGGCTGAAGGAGGAGTGTATTTTGGTGACATTGTGTTGTATTGAACCTGTGAGACTGGATCTGCCTCTAAAATCACTGGGGAGGATGAAGCTAAATTCTTCAGGTGACTGTCCCTGGTGGTTGGTGGGATGCCCTAAACACTTTAACCAGAGGCCTTTGAGTACATGGTTTGTATTTCTATTCAAATAGTGGGTCTATGATTGTCTATTCATAGATATTACAAAAGGTGAAAATGCTGAATAAATTCCCTAATTCCATGCACAGTCCTCCCTGTCCCTATTATATTGCGGCAACTTTAATGACAATTTACTTAAAAATATTGATTCTTTGGAATTAGGACTCAAAATACCAGACAGCCAATATAGATACAGATTTAGTAAAACTCTCAATGACCCTTGTAAGAATAACCTGTTTCCTCCACATGCCCACGAAAAGCAGAACATACCTCCACACTCCACAGAGACAGTGTAAACATGCCTAAGTGAGGCTCTCTTAGTTAGTGACTGGACATAGGCTCCCCCCGCTTTGGTTCTAACTTCTATGCATTCTATTTCTTGAATGCAGAAACAAGAGGTTAGTGTGAAGACTTGATTTGTAGGCCTTGTTGATTTTTCATCATGCAAATATGCCATGGAAAATTTCAAGCTACTAGCACGAAGTCAACTGGCCCTAAAAGTGGCTGAAAATTCAAGAATGGTTTTTTATGCACTGATGTAATTGTGACATGTGCATAGAACAGCATCCCCAAGCAGATTGTCATCTTCATGCTGGAGCCTTAACTGCATAGTTAAAGGTGAATAGTTTCTAGGCATGTAGCATAAGTTAGGCCCTGTAAATTCTTTGGACAGGTGCCTGTTGTTGGACTTCCTTTGATAAATTGGTTTGCTTTATATGAGTATGTAAATAAGAGTCCCATGATAAGCCAAGCAGCATGTGAACTCTGAAGGTTGATAATACTTAATGAGGCACTATGTTGAAGAACCTGGGACTGGATTCATGTCAATAATAACAGAAGCAACATTTTACTCCTTTCCTAAAGAGGCAACATATAACAATCTCTTACATCGAGTTGCAACTGATTTCCTTGAAAGGCATTATTATGTCCGGGACTTTGGTCTTGATTAGGGCTAGTGAACTGGTCATTTACCAATGCAGTAGCTATATCAAAACAGGTGCAAAAAATCCTGCACTCTTCATTCTAAGTATATCCACTTTTCCTCTCCTATTTGTTGGCTAATTCATCAGACCATTTTATAACCATTGTTATTTCCATAGACAGAGCTGGTAGCTTCCAATGGAAATCATTTTCCATGCAATATCTAGTAAGTCACCTGGGGATGAACTGTCCATAGCAAATGTGGAAGTGAGACATGGTTGTACACAATTCATTCATTGTCCCTTAGCATATCCTGAGCTGCTTCTTCAACTCTGCCAAGAGGGGGAGGTCTTCCAGTATTTCTCCTTTCAGGGCCAACCGCCTGAGCTGCTTACTCTTCTACAGAGAGACATGTATTTTCTTTCCCAGGAGATACCTGTTTCTCTATATCAAATTAAAATGAAGTGCATTTTGCCTCAAGGTCTCTCAAAGTCCATTCCCTGTGTGTACTCCTGGCTTCTGCTGCTTCATGTTCAACAGAGCTACTCTTCCTTTGTTGAATATTCTTTTGTTGTTGTTTTCCTGGCACAGACTGTACTTTTGCAGGTGGTGTATATTGAGATTTGACATTTTTGTTGCCTAGAGCAATGAGAGGAGATGGGATTAGATGATAAAGAGAGCAAATGTCATCTTTTGTTGTCTCTAGGATCGGAGCAGCCACTGCACTCTAATTGAAGGGAATAGTTTATATCTACACAAACAGATATGGGCAGCCCAGAGCACAGTGTCTTCAAGGGCATCACACACCTACCTCCTTGTCTGTCCTACCCTGATGTTTGGATAGACACCATGGCTCTGTAACATCTTCATACTTCTGATTCTCAAAACTAAAACCTTTGTTCTTAGGACATGTTGACCACAGTAGGAAAGGAGAATCAGTCCAGGAAAATTTTCTGGGTTTCTTACCTTGGACTTATTCTGCAGTGGGCTGGCCCAAGGGAACACTAAAATAAATTACAAAATAAGATACAAACATTTATGTTAAAAAGAAAAAAATATTATGTAAGTACATGTGTACATATGTGCAAAGATGTGTGGAGTTCAGAGGACATCTATCATGCTTTCTTGGGTGCTGTTACCTTTCTGGGTTTTGTTTTCATTTTTGAGAACACAGTCTTTTACTGGCCTAGAACTTGCCAAGTAGGGTGGGCTAGTGGTTAGGAAGCCCCAGCAATCTGTTGATCAGTCTCCATGGTGATGAAAGTACAAATGTGTTGTCATGCTTTTAAAATAATAATATTTTTATTAAATCCTTAGGAATTTCATTCAATGCATTTTCATTCTCTGTAGCTGGAAGTTTTCCTGTGTCCCACAAGTCCCACAGTCGCTTGGTCCCAAGTAAACACACAGAGGCTTTTATTAATTACAAACTGTATGGCCTATAGCTCAGGCTTCTTGCTAACTAGCTCTTTCATCTTAAATTAATCCATTTCTATTAATCTATATGTTGCCATCTGGCTGTGGCATTACTGGTCTGTTGGCATCTTGTTGCTCCTTGGGCAGTGGGCTGGTGTTTCCCCTGACTCCACCCTTCTTTATCTCCGTCTTTAGTTTGATAGCACCACCTAACCTTATCCTGCCTTGCCATTGGCCAAACAGGTTTATTTATCAACCAATGAGAGCTACACATATTCACAGCGTCCAAAAAGACATCCCACAGCATCCTCCTGTCCCCTTCTCCTCCAAGACTTAACCCCACAACCCCACCCAACTTCATGTCTTCTCCTTTTCTCCATTTAGTAAAACCCACAAAATCCAACCTGACTTGAGCTAGTGAGACAGTCAGTTTAAGGACTGAGCCATCTCCTATCCCCAAGGATTCTTTTTAAAAGTGTAAATCTGTTCCTCTTTAAGAAAGATGCTTTCTGTGTATTTATAGAGGAATTACATAAGGAAATCTGCTATATTGGGGTCCTTAAAAATGTATGTGAACTGGATTATTATTTTATTTGCAGACAGATGCCCACCTAAGTTGTGTATTTCTACCTGGGGACATGTGTTGTTTTATGTATTACTTACTTCCTTTCCTCTGCATCTTTGGATCCTGTCACGCTGCACAGTTTCACTTATGATTATATGCTGTTGTCAGCCACACAAGTCCACAATTAACAGAAATTATTTTCTTAGCTACTGTGTTCTCTGTAAAAACTGTCTACAATGGATACACTAGGAGTTCATTCTTCTGTAACATTTTGCTAAAGTTATAATATTATTTTTAGAAGTTGATTTCTTATTAAATAGAATTTAACAATTTAATAGCATGGAGATTCTCAGGGAAGAAAGCTTTATATTGTTTCATGTAGTGTGTGTGGTTTCTCTGTGTGTGTATGTCTGTATGTGGTATGTGTATGTGCATGTATGTATGTGATGTATGTGTTTTTGTGTGTGTATCTGTGTGGTGCATCTGTGTAGTGTGTGTCTGTTTGTGACATGTGTATGTCTGTGTGTGATGTGTGTCTGTGTGTGATGTATGTGTATGTCTGTGTTGTGTGTCTTCATGTGTGGTGAGCGTGTGTGTCTGTGTATGTCTATGTGGTATGTATATGTCTGTGTACGTGTGTTCATGTGCATGTGTCTGTGTGTGTGCACATATGTGCCTGAGTTTTCCCTCTCTGAAATTACCTGAAACTCAACAATATGACTTACAGTTCATGTAGCTGCATCTTCGCATGACTGCAGCAAGACACTGAGACACCCTGATAGAGGTTCTCAGGGATTCTTCATGGTCATTTCCCCCCCCCACAGCCTTCAGGTATCCAAAGATACATGTTCCTAAGAATGTTCTCCTTCGCTCAGAGATTTAACATGCAAACTCCATTAGTGCTTTCCCACGGTTGCCTGGAACCCCTTGTCAGAAAGCTCAGGCTGCCTCTTGGTTTTATGTTTATGCCTGTATCTCTTTTCTGTGTTCACTTAAGGTCATTTTTATGCCCAAGTCATGTGTGAGGTGTAAGAACTGAAGCCACTTCATTGTTAAGTGTGCTCTGCTGTCTGTAGGCTGCTCTTTGTTGCAAAAAAGGAAACCTGCTGCTAGGCAAAGTATAAACGCAGCACAATGCAGCTGTTTCCCCGTTAATCTAGTTATGCACTTTGATAGGAGTAGTAGTGGATGATAGGAGCAGCAATTCAATCCCAGCATGCACTGGTTTATAGGCAGAACTTCCAGTGTTGACACAGGGAGCTAAATTTGTTTATGAATGCGAGGGAGTCTGATGCTTTAGAGCCAATTCTGCATAACCAGTAGAGGATGAAAGGAAAATGTGTGTTGATTGTGGGTGACG